TTTTTTTATTTTTATTTTTATTTTATTTGCTCATTATTAGTTATTTTTTCATTATAATTTATTTGGTTGATTTACTTTAATTGTTTATTTTATTTTATTTAATTTAACTTAATTTTAATTAAGTAGATTTGAATTAAAATAAATATTTTATTACATTTTATTTAATTTTCCTGTATTTCATTGTACTCTTTTTAATTTAATTTTATTGATTTTCAAATAATTTAATTTTATTTAATTATTTTAATATTATTTTATTTTATTTTAGTTAGTATATTTTTATTCTAATTAGTTTCACTTAGTTTTTTTTTTTTTTAATCGTTATCATACAATATAACTTATGTTATTTATTTTGATTAATTTATTAATTTTTGTTTTATTGTATTTTATCTAACGTTTCTATTGATTTTCGTTTAATTTATTTTTAATTTTGTAATTCAATTTAAATATTAAACTGTTATAGTTTTTTTATTTTTTTGTATGTTTTTTACTTGCATTTTATTTATTATTATTTTCTTTTAATTAATTTAATTAAATTTATTATAATTTTTTTTTATTCTTTTATTTATTATATTTTTTTATTTTAATTTATTTATCTTTATTTTATTTCAATTTTGTTTTTTTTTTATTTTTTATTTAGTTTAGTATTTAGTTTTGTTTTGCATTTTATTTAAGTTCATTTTATTGATGTTCAATTAATTTAACTTAATTTTGTATTGTTTAACTTATTTTATTTCAATTAATTTAATTTCTAATAATTTTGTTTAATTAAATTTATTTTTTTTTTATAGTGATTAATTTGATTTTATTGTTTTTTGTTTCATTTAATTTTAATTACTATTAGTTCAAAACATTACGAACGATCATTAAGCGGGCGATCGCGATGGTAATGTAAGTTACTCTTAGCTGCCTACACCGCCACAAAAATTTAATCTTATTTCATTAATTTTGATTTATTTTAATTTTATTTAATTTTGTTTTTTATTGTTTTTTAATTAATTTAATTTAATATTATTTAACTTATTTTATTTTAATTAATTTAATATATTATAATTTAATTTAATTTAATTTATTTATTAACTCTAATTTGCTGATTTTGTTTTATTTCATTTTAATTAAATTTGTTTAATTTTCATTTATTTTATTGTAATTTAAAGAAATTTTTAAAATTTTATTTTGTTTTAAATGTTTTATTTATTTTTCTTTTATTTTATTGTGTTTTAATTAATTTAATTTAATATTATTTAACTTATTTTATTTTAACTAATTTAATATATTATAATTTAATTAAATATAATTTAATTTAATTTAATTTAATTCAATATAGTTTTTTGTAACTTTAATTTGCTGATTTTGTTTTATTTCATTTTAATTAAATTTGCTTAATTTTCATTTATTTTATTGTAATTTAAAGAAATTTTTTAAAATTTATTTTATTTTCAATGTTTTATTTATTTTTCTTTTATTTTATTGTGTTTTAATTAATTTAATTTAATTTTAATATTATTTTATATTATTTATTTTATAGAAAGAGGTATACTTAAAACTAGATATAATAATATAGAACTCTATAAGGGATGCTGATTCATGTTTGCATTGTGTGTATGTGTGCACGTGTGTCTGTGCTAGGATGTGCGCGTATGGCGGTGGCAGCCACGCTCTGGGTTAACATTGCCTTTATGTAAGCATAATACAATACACTGCTCACATTGGCAACAACATCATTAGCATTGTCAGCGTCAACAATGGTAATGACATACACATTGTCAACGTTTGTCAACCGTACACACACACCCACACACACACACATATATATATGAGTTAAAATTTAAGCTTGCATTAGTGGAGAATATCTTGTCGAGAGTATACAATGCCGTGAATGGGAAACGTTTTTATGCTTGGCATTCTGCGTGCTTGTGTGATGCTTGTGTGTGTACGCATATGGTTGCTTAAGGCCACAAAGGGTGGTGTTAGTTGATTGTTTGATAGGCACTTGAAGATTTAATCGATAATCAATCAAAAATGGTTGTATGTAGAAGTAAGCTTGCATGTGGGTGTTAGTGTATGAAGTATTATCCCATGAGATATACATACATACATATGTAACGCTGGCGCGCACGTGCAGTTATAATTAAATGTGAAAACTGCTGCTGTGTGTGTGCCATAGAGCTGGGTTCAAGGAAACACAAATAGTCATATACACGCATACATATAAATAGCTTTGTGGGGAAGATGTGTCTGAATTTGCAGTTATCAGGAAACATTGGCAACATAGCAAATAATGGGATTTAAATATGTGAGAATGAGTGTATGTGTGTGTAGACACTAATATATGTGAATGGTAAAGGCGCAACACTTACGCTTGTCGAAGCTGATGCCCTCCGATGTATGGATTTAATATCAAGATAAATATATATCTGCAAGTGTGTGGCGTGTTAGGCGAAGAGACATTTTTTGTCAGCAAAACCATTTTCCGGATATTTTTTTTGAAGTTTTCCTAAATTTGACAAAAACATTTTAAATAATTATCAAATGAGGCAAAAAGAGAAATGGTAATACAATATGTGAAATATATTGCCATTCTGATGCCCGGGTTTAAGTCTTTGTTCGAACGACATGCTAAATTAAAAGAAAAAATATTTTTCTAACTGCGATCGTTCTTCGGCAGGGAATGTCAACCATTCCGAGTGTATTTCTGACAAAAACTAAAAGTTTGTCAAAAAAAAAAAAACATCAGCCACTCAGAGGTGGTACTGACGAAAGCGCCTTAAAGAGACAATTTTCTATTTGTGCTCACCCCTCAGCAGAGAATGTCAGCTCCTTCGAAAGCTAGACTGTTGCCGCCTATACGAACGACGGAATCCATCCAACGCAGCTGCTCCTGGTACCATTGTCTGCCTGATATACAGAATGGCTACATACATAGAGGATAATAAATTTTACATGTCTGGCTTTCCCTTGTTCACTATTAGAACCATACCCTGAGCTTCCTTATCCTGTTGCCAATGTTATCAATACCAATAACTCTTCTTCTTAGCGCTGAGTCAAGACTCATGCTGGCTGAGTGAGGTCACGTATGAAGTGACCGGACAGCTATATCCGAGATGGGATGTGAAAATATCCACAAATCTCATCCTTCTAGACCGGTTCACCTTTAACATAACGACAAACAGACATAAAACAAGGCCGCTGTTACAGGGGTTGAGGATGGTCTACCACTCTAATCATTCTTACCGCAGCTGTAAAGAGAAAAAAGAGAGCTGTTCGTCGGGAAACACTTATTTGACTGTCTCGTTAAGCTAGCCTAATCAAAAATTCAAAGTCTCATTGTTTTTATAAGGCACACGAAATGGTTCGAACGTTTGAGAAGGTGAAAAGGGGACCCTCACAGCGATCAACTCAACTTAACTGATAATTTTTTTCAGCTTAAAGTTGAAGATGTCACATGATAAAGACTTTTCTTATATATAACTTCTGTTGGCATCGAATTACGCGTAGAGGTTCTGCTAAGTTTGGAGTTCAGCGCTAGTTTGCACTGTTTTGCGGGCTTTAAATTCATGGCGAGGTAGTATGTATCAATGGGGTCTTTACAAGGTTTAGCGCAGATTTGTTATGTCTTAGTCTACACTGATAAGGTCCAATCGGTCTGTTGACGTTGTGCTTCAGGCTTTCAGACAGTTACCCACAGTATGCTTTTTAGGGCCTTATATAAGATACTGAGTAGGCTTAAGCCATGATTGTTTGGCCCTAAACATAAGGCATGCTTTCATCTGACCATATTTTGTAAGGAACAATCAACTTTTCAACTTTCGCCGCCACAGTAAAGTATCGGTAAGCTATTGGCTCAGGCCACTTAGCTGATTACCGGTGAGCAATTGTTATGCGGACTTCTTCACGATAATAGAACGTTCGTTATACAGCTCTAGTTTTGCACAAATTGGCTTTAATATTAAAAGGTAAAAAACTGATTACTTAGGTTATGGGATTCAACAGTGAAAATGTCCAAGATATACAAATAATTTTTCTCTCCTCCCAAAGCGTGAAAAGCCCATAAAAGCGATAGAAAATTAAAAAAATTTCAATGTATCTATATGTCGAGTTAGTGGGTTATTGGTAGTAGAACTATTGCTCTATAAGGAATGAAGTTTACTCATTTATAGCGCATAATATTTACATACATAAATAGTCTATTGTCGTCATGCACTGCAACGGTAAAAATCAAATAAAAATGCCGTTCAACAAAATCGACAATTGTTAAATGCTCGAACGCACATAGTCCAACTGAATGTTTTAATAAAAGAGCTTAACTCAACTCATAAAAGTAGAAATAGCAAATTGAAATCAAAAAAGAAAACCAAAAAGCTTACAAACTTTCAAAAAAAAAAAAAAAAAAAAAAAAAAAAAAAACAACAACAAATAAATCATCTAAGCAATTGTAAACATTTTTCTCTATTTGAAGAAAAAGATGAGAAAGAAGAACAAAAAGAGAAGAAGAAGAAGAAGAGTTTAAGCGAAAAACATGCTCATATTAAATTTTCTTGTACTTTTCTCTTTTCCCAATGATGCTGCACTATTCGTATGCGCCACACTCAACTTTATGTTTATTTGGATTAACTATTGTTATTTATTCCTGTCCCAAATTCTTTTTTTTTTTTTGTTTTTTTCTTCTTCTTTTTCAAAATACCGTAAATACCGTTTGTACGTTCGTTTGGTTATTTGTATTTGTATTTTATACTTTTATTTTTATTTTGTATTTATTTTATTTTTATTTCTATTTTCCTTTTCTTCTTTTTCATTCTTCATTTTTGTTTTTGTTTTCGTATTTTGCTTTGGGTGTGTACTTTTCTTAATTTTGTTGTTTTTGTTTTTGTGTTTTACCATTTTTCTTTTCAAATTTTATATACTTATATTTGTCTTCTTCTTTTGGTTGCTATTGGTTTCTATCCATTTTGTTTTTATTCGCACATTTTGTGGGGGAACCTAACGCAACAATATGCTACGAGAACGAAGACGCCTCGCTCATTACAAGCTCAGCAGCAGGTAACTTTTGAATGTTTTACTTTACACATATAAATATATATGTATCTACATAAATATAAATATGATTGTATATAAATATGTATGTATATTTTCAGGTTAATTTAATATTTATATTATAATACAATGAGAGGTCTAGTAAAAAGTAATCCATTATTTTTGCATTAAATCGAAGGCTTTATTTACTACAGTTGGAATTATACGATTTAATGTCAAATATGCCACTTTCTGCTCGATAATTTTTTGCTATTTCGAAGTTAATACCATTATGCCTCTCTCATAGAAACCCTTGTCTCTATTGGCAAAAAAATTGGTATAATCAATTTTCACAGATTTCTCTTGAGCCAAATTCTTCACCAGACAAATAATTCACTACAAAGAGGAACACATGGTAATCACTTTTTGCAAGATCCGGTCTATCAGGTGAATACTAAAGAGCTTTTCATCTAAGCGCTCAGCGCTTCTGGCGAGTCATTATCGATGTGTGTAGTCTGGGGGTTTTCTGATGAAACACACTTCCTCTCCTGTTGGCCAAAGCTGTTCACTTCTGACGGCCTTCTGGCTGACGGTGCAGTTTAGCATTAAAATCTTAGCCGAAAGGCAGCAGTTCCTAGTGGCTGATTGCATGCCAACATAACCAAACATACAGTAAAGCCTGTCTGGCTATCAATCCTGGCCAGGAGACAGATTCTGCTCTTTTCACGGCCCTTCGAGCACTACTGTTTTTGTTTGCAATATTTAGCTCTTAAGTATTTGAAACAGTGTTCACATGATGGCCAGATCCGAATATCTCTATAATTTAATTAACAATTTCGACAATCTTCCACTTAGTGGATCATCTTTAACATTAAAATTACCGGAATAAATTCGACGATACCAGAACTGCGCATGATTGACTATTATAGTTTCAGGATCGTAAATACTATTCATATTTTCAGCTGTTATTGAATTGTTGTTGTTGTTTTTTTTTAGTGTTAATTCAATCACAGTGTAATTCAATCACACTTATAGAACCCGACGCATAAATCACTAATCTAGATGGCTTTACTTATCTAAATCTCGCGTTGCATAACTACGATCGGTTTCCGCTAGATGGCGTTAGGAAGATGACATTTCGTATTGAAAAAACTTTTCTGACAGTTTTGTGATTGGTTTGATGCTTCACGGAGTGGAAGGCCAATTGTCGAAAAATTATGGATATTGTCGAGTCCGACCGTTATGTTAGCACTGTTTCGATTGCCCAAAACCTATAGATCGCACATAAAACTGCTTGAAAGAATTTGATTAAGGCTGGTTACGAAGAGAAAAAAATTAAACCAATTAATTTCATGCATAAATAACGGATTTCTTTTTACTACATCTAATTTGATCTTTCTTACGCCATCTAAAGCAACCCAAGCTCACATATAGAACCCAAAATATAAGTCACTGAAATGGATTACATTTTACTAGACTTATTGCAATAATTACAATATATAAAATTATAAATATGTTGTATTATATATATAGATAGCTATAGAATGACAAACACCGTGAATCGGCAACAGAAATTTATCGGCACAAAAAATTTCTATTAATTTCCAGAAGTATTTGGTACCAATAAGGTTTTTCGATACTACAAGTTGCAGTTCTTCTGTCATTTCTGAAAATATTCTCCACTGATATCGGTACACTTTTGCATGCGTTTGAACCAATTATTCGAGCAGTTTTGCCACTCTGATTGTGATATCTCCAAAACATGCGCTTTCAACCATTTTTTCAGGTCTCGAAGAACGTTGGTCTTCTAGTTTATTTTTTACGTACGGTAAAAGAAGTCAGAGGCCAAGTGAGCTTACTCACTGATTATGAAATATGCAAGACAATTCTCGTACAAAACCTTTTATTTCGAAATAAAATGCAATAAGGTTTTATTTTTCTCCACTTCTTGGCAGCTTCTGCAGTAGGCGTTATATGATAAGCCTAGTTTGTTGGTGGGTCTACTAATAAGACAGTGATCTGTTTGTATTCCAACGAGAATTCATGTGACGCTTGGATATCGACAAGTAGCCAAAGGCTTATATGTACCCTTTTTTTTATCAGAATTTCCGATTGACGATTTATCGGGGATGGCAATATTGAGTGTTGAATTTAGATTCATTTCTGAAGTTTACGAAAAGCCATCGTATTCGTTAGAAACGTAAATTTGACAAGTAAACGAGTGTTGAATTTCTCTTACAGAAGGTAACTGACAGTGAATATTCCCTCGGCCTTAGCGTCGACATCGCTGCCAGTTGCTTACTGTACAAGTCTTAGGGGCAGTAAAATAAAGTGTCTGCGTTGTTCTGAGGGCACCTGTGATACATAAACTGGCTTAACTGAATATCTCATTGGAAAAGGAAAATCACAAAAAAAAAGAGTAAGAAGAGGTCCGCCAACATGACTTCTAAAAAGCGGATTGGTGAGCAATTTGCAAAGATAAACGCTTGTGGCTCTCATTTACCAATGATTTCATGTAATGTACCTCCTTACTGTTGAACTGATAAATCTCAAATAAAAAAGAAGTGTATGGAGTTTCTTTTGTTTAAATTAAATTATTTTTGAACAAATTCTTAAAAAATTTACATCCATGGTGAATACAAATTCCGATTCCGAGAGCTAAAATCGTATGCGAAGGGAAAGTGAAATACGTTCCATCTGCTTTTATTTGTTGGAATCCCATACCGATTGCCAATACGCTTACGGATGTTTTGAGCCGAGGATAAGATACTTTTCTATGAGACTGCAGAACTGATTGATCTTAATGTCAAATACTTTTAAGGAAAAAATGGTAGTCTCAATGAAAATATAATAGCTATACTGCTGCAAAAGGTTCTCCAAATAAATTAGGTTATGTTGAATATTTTCTTAATTTTAGGTTTCAACCGTGCTAAAATTCTTTTTTTTTTTTGTATTTCTCATAAAAAATATACTCATGATAGAAAACATACGTTTGGTACTTATGAACTCGTGAATATCTAAAGACGGTTTGCCCAATAAAAAAAAAAAAAATTAATAATCGATTAAAAAGTTTTTTTTTTTAACAGTTTTTATAATCTTTTTTTTTATTTTTTACAAACGCAGTAATCAAAACAGCTTATTTTTATTGTTGTTTCAAGGATGAGTTTGTAAAAGGGCTGAAATTCGCTGAAAAAGTAAAAAAACAAAAAAAAAAAAGCTTTCATAATTCAGCCATATACAAAATACGATTATACAATAAAACTGAGAAAATTGCGAACATAACCTCATTTATATTCGATCCTATGAAGGCATATAGCTTTCGACCTTTACCTTGAAATTTTTGCTATAACACAAAACTTAAACGGATCCCATCGCCGTTCACCCGGTGCTGAGAAGAATCAATTTTTTGTTTGCTGTTTTGAAATTTTCGAGATCTGCAACTTGCTACATTGAAGAATTTTCTTGATATCATTTATTAATACTATGCGACCGATATCTTTTTGTCGCCGATTTGATATAAATATCGTTCTATGACTTTTCTACTTAATATTAAGAGAAGTTTATTAATAAAAATTTTTTATGAGAAGGGATTTTACACGGCCAACCAAATACGCTTATAAATCGTAGCATCGAAAAAAGTCAAATTATTTATTGCATCCAATTGAGGTGCGGATTGCTTTACCTTATAAATAGAAAATTTATTTATTTTTCAATTTTTGCTAAAAAAAATTTTTGCAATTGTTAAGCCAATAGTTCAGTAAAATTATTAAAAAGAAGAGTATAGAGAAAAAAAATAGAGATAAATAAGAATAAGTTAAGTAATGTCAGCTCAAAGTTAGGATTGTAAGCGAAAGGGGGAAAAAAATTTACGCGGAACCCAAATTCATTAAAACGATTTAACGCCCAGCCCAAACCGTTATTTGTAGAGAACTGAAAAGTGAAAGCTTTTTTCTGTGTGCAATGCAGTATCCAAAAAAAAACTATTCTCCGAAACTTCAAACATAAAAGGGTAGCAATGGAGGTCAGTGTTTGTATGGAGCAACGCAATGCAACAATGATTGTACGCGCTGAACTCCCCTGACCCACTTTCCGTAAAAAATGATATTTCTTATTACAAATTTAGAACCCACTTTGACCCCATTAGGTGTATAATTTTAGGGAATCTTTTTTAGTGGATTTCTACGTCGCACACAGATAGAACTTTGTATATATAGCATGCAGCTCTTCCATCTAAATATGTAAATTATGAAAAGGATTTGAAATTTTGTTTAAATATTTTTTTTACAGTGAGCAACTTCGATTTCAATGGAAAAAGAGAACACATTTCTGCTTCCTTTGATTGATTGTTCCGATGTGAAGTATATTTTTTTCGTGCCCACATAAACAACTATCCATCAGAGCTGAGGTTCTTGGCATATCACTTATGGTCATATGTAAAGTAAACTCTGGCAGGAATCGATTTATCTAAAGTTAGCGCGAAGTTATTATCCTACCAATGTGCTCAACCTACCTTGGACCGTCTAACGACGAATATATTTAAGCGGAGATGGTATTATGGTATCTCACTGATGAACCCAGGAAAACCCGCCTTCCAAGGTGAACAAAATACCTCGTCGATATACCTCGTTTCCGGCGAAGTGTGGGTATTGGATATGACTTTCAACGGCGTCGCATTAACATAGTTTCCAAATAAATGGTTGCATCGACCAAAACCGACGCTGCTCCCAAGCTTTGAGCCATGCCTTCTATAAGACATTTTGTGGATTCTTTTCCCTATCGCTGGTTTTCTTCTTCTGCTACCAATTTCGGTGTTGAAGAGTTGAATCATGATTTGCTTATGTGGTAGAGGTTAGGTTTAGGAAAACTAAGAGCAGTTCGGTAGGTTGGTGTCGTCTTCTGTTGACAAGCACACTGCGCTTACCCGGACGAATGGTGCCGTTGAGACGTATATCTGTCATATTCTTTTCAGAAAGCTGTAGCTGTTTGGTGTAAGAGGCTAGTGTAACCGCAATCTTCCGCTAACGGTT